AAGAATCAGAAAGGAAAATGACTAATGAAGACTCAAAACGAGGAGTGATGTACGACAAATGGGGGAAAGAATCAGAAAGGAAAATGACTAATGAAGACTCAAAACGAGGAGTGATGTACGACAAATGGGGGAAAGAATCAGAAAGGAAAATGACTAATGAAGACTCAAAACGAGGAGTGATGTACGACAAATGGGGGAAAGAATCAGAAAGGAAAATGACTAATGAAGACTCAAAACGAGGAGTGATGTACGACAAATGGGGGAAAGAATCAGAAAGGAAAATGACTAATGAAGACTCAAAACGAGGAGTGATGTATGTTCAATGGGTTATATAGATAGATTAGTATATCCCATGCAATTAGTATATTGCTATTAACCTACTTCGCGTTGAATTTTCATCGATGTTAAGTCTAGCAAAAATTTTTTTTAAAATAATAATCGTCGCTATTGTATCGTAAAAAATTATTTTATTGCTCACAAAACAAACAACCACTCATAACTAGAAAATTAAGCCTCCTTTTCATGGTCGAGCCAGTGTTTCCAGAAAAATTTTAACACGCAAAAATTTAACAAAAATAATATCAAAGTAGCCAAGACATAGCCAAATATTGTAGCGCCACATCACTAGTGGACATTAGAATTTGCCGACTAGAACGCGGTTGGTTAACCGATGCTCTACTGTAGTAACTCTCTTACTTTATTTTTTAATGCAATTATCTGTAGGCCCTATACTTTTACAGACAGGCGGAAAAATAAGAAAAATATAAAAGTTGAATATACGTGATGTATATATTAATTAAAATCTGCCAATCAGAAGAGGGATTAGAAAGAGTAGCGGCGAGACAAGGACTATATACTGTAATANTTAATAAGCTATATCGTTTTTAAAATATCAATATTTGTTTGTTTATTTATCAAAGTTAAATATCGATAGTTTAAACATGTTAAAAATTTCATATTCATATTTTGATTTTTATTTATATAATATTTCTCTAATATTAATTTACAGGTTTTTAAAATTTAAATATTCTTTTAGTGTCAACAGAGCCGTGTTTAAGCACAGTGTGCTCGAGGGGCCTCAATAAAGTTAAATTTTTCAAAAAATGAAAACGTGAAGGTACTTAGAGCCCGGTTAGAAGAAGAAATCGAATTTTCTTACTTAATTTATTTACAGAAATTTGTTAAGATATGGAGAGATTTTCATACATTTTTATCTTCCTAATTACTGGCAATCTTTCTCTAAATGAAAGTAAGTTTTATTAAAGAAAATTTTAAATTTGCTTTTCAAAATAGAATAAAAATGATTTTATTATTATATTTATGTTATACTTCTTCCGTAATATTTCTGAAAACTGTTGGGAAATTCGTAGTTAATTTTTTTAACATAGCTATTCAATGTTTTCCTGTTTCTGCATCTCTTCAGTAGATCATTAGCGCAATTTTTAATAATCTATCCAGATTGTTCTTGTCTTTCCTTTCTTACAACCAGACGCAAGACCCTTTTACACTTACTTAGGGATGCTAACTGCTCATTCAGCATGACCAAGAATTATTTATGAGAAATAAATCGTATTAAATAAAGTTATATCTTAAGTGACTTGGTTTTTATATATATATATATATATGTATTCGCTTTACCGTATAAATAAACGGAATAGTACAGTAAATGTATGCATCTACTATAATATAGGCTATGATAGTAATAAAATTCCCTAATTTAAATAACTAAAAACAGGTATTTGAATTTCTCTTTGTATCAGTAAAATGCAATTGATTTAAATAGAAGGTAAATACTGCCTACAAGATATTCCAATCGAAACTAATTATGAGTCATATTTTCACAGTTGCATTCTGTTATATTTTCAGTACATTTCTTCGTGAGTCAGGTTACCTTTCTAAAAATTAAATCCTAGTATTTGTATAATTTATTGATTTTATTTTATTGTTTTTGTTTT